ATGTTTCCCCACTTGTCGATTAGACTTTTTGCGATTTGGCCTATTTCTGCTAGCCTCATGTTCGAGCAGAGAATCTTTATGACAAATGTGAATGCATGATTATAGCAATTTGTAGGTATATACTATTATTTATGCACTTACTATCATAATATACCCTAAAATTCAAGGGTTTAGTATCCCTTTATTCTTTAATCTTTGCAATCCCACCACTGCAAATTGTTGTGATGTTTTGAGCGATGCCAATGCCATCATCCATGGTTATTCACCAATAAATTGGCAGGCATTTATCTTTATGCATGCATCCTCTAATATTTAACATAATAATGTGTATGAAAAATATTATAAAATAATACAATAATAGTAGTAGCAGTGTAGTAGTAGTACCATTCTCATCAATCAAGTCGGGGAAAAGGCACTTCTTGACTTCACGCAACTGTGTTAAGTTGGCACGACATTGCGTCGCTCCGTCGTGAACTCCACTAATGTAGTGAAGTAATGTTTATCTTCATTCGTTTCGTTGGCTATGCATAACGAAAATACTCATTAAATAAGTTATTCTCTACTTTAGTCTTTACACTTTTACATGATTACTCTCAGCTGTTTCACACTTTGCTTATCATGCACTCGCGCCACCTAACGGGTAAATAAGCAATACTTTGTACGAAAAAATGCTTTTCAGTAAATTGTCTCGTTGGTTTTTTTCGATTTGTCCTAATAATATTTTACAAGCTTGATCAAACAGATGCGTTCCAGCTGTGATTTTTGTAGTGACAGTGGCACGCAGGGATAAAATGAATGAGGCAGATGGTGTGAAGTTTTTAGGATAGAATAGGCAAGTTTTGTATTTTTTCCCTTTTCCCTTACGATAACGCTACGAAGTCACTCGCTCGTAGGAGTGGCAGACTCCGATGACATATGCTGGTCTTTCACCACTCCTGTGCTTCATCTGATAATTATGTACTATAAAGTGTTATTTCTTAAACATTTTTTGAATTTGAACTTGAAGATCAAGCTCATGATCCTGATTACAGTAATAACTTGTAAATTAAAACTGATTAAATTTCACACCATTCTTTATTTACAAAATTACAAAGAATGAACAAATAAATCTTGTTTTCACAATCAGCAATTAAGTCTGTACAATATCCACTAAATTCCAACATCTGCACGGCATTCAAGATAGCATTCTAATATATAGGATGTCACTGCTGCACCAGAATGTTGTTATTATGCGACTAGGACGCCATGTAGCACAATGTATATATCTTTACTTTCACAAGAATGAAAAGGTTAGCTGCTCTGCTGTTGAAGCATGTCTGAACACCTCTGGCATAGCTGGCCATCCTCGTCGGACGTGTACATGCGACATCTGCCGCACTGGTAATGCTGAGTGGCTGAGATCACTAGTGTGTATCGCTCCTCATTGCTGCCTTCCTTGCCTGCAAACACACGACCAGGAATTACGTCTTGTAGGCAAATATGCTCGTTGATGGCTGGAATTCCTTGCAGGGTCATATACACTTTCGAATGTGGTACCTTGAGAGGAATACTGAATGGCATTAGAACCAATCAACATTACGTCTATGAAAACTATCGCGGATTATGTGCCCTGTATAGCAAGAAAAGTTAATACAACAAACCCTCTACCTGCCGTGATTGACAGGAAGCCCTAGCCAATCAGTGTTGCAATAGGATGTTATAATGAAAGTGTCAATGACACTGTAGCTCACCTTGGGTGTGATAGAAGAGGGAGAGGGGATATATAAAGCAACAGTATATATGGGAGCTTTCTTTTTTTAGGAAGCAACACCAAGCTATCACAACTGTGAAGGACTTTCAGCTGGTATTTCAGGCAATGGTTCCAGAAGTTAGGCGAAGTTCAGTTAGTTTCTTCATGTCGAGAGACTTTTGCGATTTGCCCTAATTTCTCCTCCTGCTAGCTCATGTTCAGCAGAGAGATCGTTCAGTACCCACAGGAGGATGAAAACATGGCTCCGCAGTACTATGCTACAATCTCGACTCAACCACTTGATCACTTGATCATATGCCACGTACACAAGGACGTCATATATGTATATCATATATATGATATATAGTCATGTCATACATCATAGGTCAGAGATGTTTTGGGGCCAGTCCTCATTCATTCACATACCAGAAATGAGCAAAATCCATTGAACGTGAACTGATTTATGGCCATTTCCATTTTTGCCAAAAAGTGGACGTGGCTCGAATGTAGGTTGACTGGCGTGGTCCAAAATAGGACGTTGAAACCTCTCCCATAGGAGTAACAACTATATGCAATTTGTAACATGTGGGTCAAACAGTTCTTGAGTTATCGTTGACCGTAGCCAAATATTGACGGACGGAGGGACGGACGACACCCCATGGCAATAGCTCATCTTGACGATGTCAAGGTGACCTAAAAACAATGCTTAAAATATCAGAGTGCTGCATAGTCGACATATTGGCATACAAACTGGGTAATCTTGCTCAACTTAGCAACAATATTGAAGGGGGCGTGATTCTCTTGATCAGCTGGATACGTCAATTAACAGTCAACAATTATCATCATTCAAGTCACTATCAAACAACTCACAGCTGACGTGGCAGATTCCCTGTAGAACAGAAACTGCATCCTCCGGTGTTACAGAGACTGGAAGGTTAGTGAGGCGTAGGTGCGAAACTTGCAGCAACTCGCACATACCCATGGTACTGGTCACCTCCTCTGTCTGCAGTAGCTGTACAACACACAGATTTTATATTTAAACATTATTGTATGTGAAAGAATTTTAAATTGTGAGAGGAAAGGAAATGATGGAGAGAGATAGAAGGGAAAACCAAGCTGGAGAGAGGAGAGGGGGAAATGAAGGAGAGAGGGACAGAGAATGAGGGAGTGGAAGAGAGATAGATGGCGAAAGACAGACTGCTACATCGTAGAATCTTTAACAGACATGAATTCTAATTAAATAACAATAATAATGATAATAATAATAATAACAAGGAGAAGAATAATAGTATATACATACCTTGAGTTTTTCATATAGATCCTCAGTGGCGAACAGCAATACATCTAACTCACGGGGGTTTACTTCTCCCTTGTTAGAGTTGAAGTCATCTCTGATCTCCAGGGCAGCTTTCATTATGTTCTCAACTTCTGTATTCTCCCAACACATGGTATCAGCAAATTCCTGACTTCTAAAGAGGTTGGGCTTATCTACGAAAACATAATATGCATAGGATTGAAACAGCCAGAGGTATGATGGCTATCTCAATACCATAGCACAGGTCTAATATTGAATGAAGACATCTATATATTTACGTTATTGTTAGCTATATTATTGTTGCACTAAGTATTGTCCCACTCACCGCTGCACGGATGGTGTGTGGCTACCTCGGCAGTGAGATGGGGTAGGATCGGCGCGAGATGACGAGCACAAATCTCTAGCATGTGAAACAGCACAGTCTGACAGGATCGCCTTTCCACCGATCGCTGTTTTTCACAGTACAATCTGAGATAAATTCAAATATAGTAATAGAAAAGTGGTTCAACTTCACGGTGAAGAGAGAGAGTGCTAATCCAACTGCTACTGCTCTGCTGCTGCCACACAAAAGGCCTGTTAATTAATTAATAATTAATTAAACCTGGCCCACGCTTACCGGTAAAATTTTTTATTATACCAGGTTGCTTTTAGCGTATTACAATATTCTAAGACGTACATTGTATAAACGAAGCACAGTGGCAAGTTAAAGATGTGTTTTACGGAAACCTTGGGTACTTTATATGATTAAATCAGAATTTGTAATTAATGCCAAAGTAACAAACCTGTCCTTGACGAGATGACAGTAAAAGGCAGACACCTCTGACGTTATAAAGTGCAGTGTCTCACGAGCCACCTTGTTGTACTCATAGGCCTCATAGAGCTTGTTCATCTGCATTATAACACGACTCATAAAGGATGTGGGACTACACACTTAGATTACCAAGTTACATAATAAATCATTATTAATTCAATATATTATGTAGTAAAGCAAAAGCTGCCGCACACATGCATATGAATGCATAACTATGACAACAAATAACATTCCCAGTCAGAAGTCGTTTTAACGTGATCCAAAATTCCAGACAGTCGTATTCACCCATCTTAATAGCAATTAAATGAGATTATGGGATGTTATGAGAATATGGAACGAAAACAGTTCAGCGTAAATTAATGCACTCACGGATTGGCTGTATTTGGTAAGTAGGTGAAGCATGTACTGATCAAGCATTGGCATATTCTGCACTAGTATACCATCAGTACGGTGATCGTAGTTATTCAGGGCTCCCAGTAGGAATCTCAAAACTATGCGAATCTGGGAATTGAAATGTAATTGCTTATTAAGACTATGACACACAATAACATCCTAACATGTAACATGACAGTGAACTGAATTGTGAACAATTTATACCCAACTTTAATCGACTACAATTATGTGGCAAATGAGATTCGATACAGATTGTTTTAAACCAGTTACTGGTGACGTGTAACTAAACCAGTAGACCGATTAATGTGTTGTACCAAACTTTCGCTGCTATAGTCACACATTATTTGCATCTACCTTGTGAACCTGTTCAGCCAGGGTGGTTAGCAGCGTACTGCCAATAGTAATGCTGGTGGCATTAGTTGCGTGGGAGGCTACCCACCACCGCAGAACATCCTCTCCATAGGCTGGCTGCTTCTTCTTGTTCTGTATCATGCAGAGACATAAATGAAAGCGGTGTGAAAAAACTGGTTCATACACGTGATCAAGTATAATTTGAGAAATGAAACTGTGTGTGATATGCTAGGCGATGGTCGTTGTCTCACCTGGCCACCTTCTATCACTGTCTGAGGATCAATGACATTTCCCTGAGACTTTGACATTTTGTTGCCGTTCTCGTCCACGGTAAAACCGTGGATGAGCAAATTCCTGCGGCAAACAAACACAGGAATATAATGCAGTAGTCTAATAACGTTTACCCTAAAAATCTCATGAGTATCACTCATCCTATCTTCTTCTGAAAAACTGTTTATTGAACTTACGTAAATTTATTAAATTGTATATAACAGTGTAGAAAGACAATTAAGTCGACTAAGGTTTAGCAGGAATGAATGAATCCATCCTCGACGTATGGTTAGTAATCATCAAAACATTGAGAAGTCCAATGTGGTAATAATGACTAATAAAATTATATTTCAATAAGATTGCTACACAATTTTAACATAAATTGCAGCTCATTAATGAAAAATGGTCGATGACTGCTTTTTGATCTATCCTTTATAAAGTGTGTGTGTGATTTATATACCTGTAAGGTGGTTTTCCAGTGAGGGCAGCAGCTGTTAGAAGAGAGGATTGAAACCAGCCCCTAATCTGATCCATACCTTCAATACACAAATCTGCCTGATATTCATGATCTGAAATGAAAGTCAGTACATGTCATTGGGTTCATGTCTTTATGCAGTGCATATAGTTATCATGGGGTGCGGTGTGAGCGGTTCCATATGGGTGCAGAGTTCACAACATTAACAGAATAATGTAAGAGAATGCAGGGCAAGTATTGAACATAAATCAGTATGCATTATACCTTTGAGCACAGTAGCCCAGCTGACTCCACTTTCAAACCATATATCTAAAATGTCAGCACCTTTCTTGAATTCTCTATCTGGCTGAATGCCAATCTGAAAGCAACATATTATATATACCTATATCCCTGATGTTTACAACTATACCAATCACATTCAGCGAAAACATTTACCATGGCGACAAATAATACCATGACAATAAAAATTTTGGTCATAGGTTGAAACTGTGAAATAATACAATAATAATAAGTCTTCTCACATTATCATCAAACTAGATATAAATGGCTATATGAATCCACTATCATAAACAATATACAAACTTTTTCCATGATGCTAGAAGGCAGAAGCTGATCTTCTGTCATAGCCCACCAGCAGTCAGTTCCATGCTGTCTAATCAGATTCTCTATGTGCTCCACTGTATGTCTGTGCATGAAAGAAAATTTCCAAACGTTGTGAAAATATTGAAAAATCATACGTGCACCCCAAGAATTTAGGCCTGAAGGAACAAGTAATAAAATCCTGCATAAATTACTTTACTTTATGTCATTACTCACGGAGAATATGATGATACATACACTACCAATGCAAAATATTCTTTGAGTTTTCAACTTCCCAATTACCATTACTGTGCTCCTCTGTAATAAATCATTATTTATATATTTTAAAATATCCTATTTATATCTATACACAGTAAAAGATAAAGATAAAGAAAGTCAACATGCCTGTTTATAAGGGGTTCGCCAGTGTCAACACAGTAGAAAACAGGCAGTGGCACACCCCAAACTCTTTGCCTTGATATACACCAAGATGGCCGATTCATCAACAATGATTCCATCTGCTGCCTGTATTGTTCTGGATGGATGTTTACTGAATTTAGACAATCCTGCATTGGAATTAAAAAAACAAAAATCGTAAACATAAACTTGGAAACTAGCAACTGGAATGTCATGAATTATAGAAAGAATAATAAAATTGATGGTTTTGAACACCTAAGATATTTCAATAAAAATTACTAAAATGTGCAAGGGTAAGAGAGCTGAAGTAGTCTTAACAGATAAATTGTTGATACCAAAATCTTGTAACATAAATATACCTGAAGAACGTTTGGGCTTTATTGCACACACACGCTATTACATATACAGTAAAACTCGATCACATATGTGACCCGCTCCAGCATAATACGGACTAAGTCGCAATTAAGTCATTGTTTTGAGTAATTAGCACGCACACATGTCAATGCTGAAAATGGCCTACCTGGACAAAAATGAGATTTTTACAAAAATGAGTTCCTAAGTGCATATTTAATCTGGATATATAGGTTCAGATATCTCTAGATTATGATGGTCATTTTTAATTTTAAAAAATGGAAAATAAATTTTTTTTTTGAAGGGCCCCTGACCGCTCATCCCCGACTGGGCCCCTTACCTAGAACGCTTTATCTTAAAAGCTACATATTCCGGAATAAGTCGGTTTCCGATCTTCAAATTGCTGTAGATCGGTTAATTCTTTAGATATAGCCAAATATTATATATCATTTTAAAGGTAATTAAATAATCTATTCAGATATGCACATAACTCAATTTGTAGAATTTCCTACTTAATCCTGGTTTTGCTGGAGCGGGTCACATATAAGTCGACACTTTTGGGACTAGCATATTTGTGTCGACTTACGCATCATTTTGTCGACTTATACAATGTATGCGCGCGTGTGACTGTGCATGTGTGCGTATGCAGGCACGTGTGCACAAAAGAGTGCGCATGTATGAGTGTGGTGCGGTGTGTGTGTGTGTGTGTGTGCGCGCGCGTGCGTGTGTGTATATGATCTCTCGGTTGCGTCTCTGCTTTCTAGTGATACCGTATACGTATATGTATATAGGTATAGTTAGTACTGTATAGCAGAATTAATTTTCAGGGAGTCACATGGACTCCTGCATATGTCAAATCAGGGAGTCCGACAGTAAATCAGGGAGTATATAATTGACTCGATCCGGACTCGCATTAATTTTGCACACTGCATTGGGCTGCATACACTATATAATACTATACGCTATATACAGTATATAATACACTGTATACAGTGGGTAATCTGGGGGTGTGCGAGCTGCGAGATGGGAAAAAAACACAATGCGTCCAAGCGAACAATGCGATTCAAACAATCCGTCTGCGACAGCCAGCTCGCGCATTCCCTAGACCGTACCAGAGCATATAAATCAGTTGATTATGAAGTTTACTGTATTATAATTTTATATAAATGTATATATGCACATGAGTAGTATGTAATAAGAAGAAGCTGATAACAACATACCAGTGCTAGAGACTTGAGCCTGTCAGTGTTAATGAACCACTGCTTGCTGGCTCTGAAGATGACCGGCTGTTTAGTTCTCCAGTCATATGGATAACTATGAACATGGTCCTCGGAATGGGCTAACAATCCTGCATCCTTCAGTTGATTCATGACTAAAGAAAATAATATTAAAAAGTAGGTAACAAATCACCTGATATTTTATCATAATACTTTGTTATATCCTAGAATGAACTATCAATGACAATTTTCATTGTTTGACTTTGAAATGCAATTATTAAGAGTAGGTAGTATTTTCATTAAGAATTATTTTACAAAATGTTAATTATGAAAGCAGAAAGAACATTAGTCTAAATGTTTTTTTCAAAATCGGTGAGCTTACAGTATGTAAATATTTTCATACAATGTGCAAGTTTGAATAGCTCTAATTATCTGACTCCACAGGCCGATTCATAAGCGCACCAGTGATGTTTCCTTGCTTGATAACATGTTGGCCAACGAGACTCTCTCCTGCCTCTGATGTGTAGCATCCATCTTCATTCACAAGGCTAACCTGAAAAATTTACTCATTACCTATAGATATGTCAATGAAAGCAACCAACAGCAAACACATCTCTGCATCTATTGTAATGTCTATCTATCCTAAAGCCAAATACTGATTTCCTGATTTCTTTTCCATAAACCTATTTAACATTTCACGTAATTAGCGGTGTATTCAAAGGTAGTGTATTCACAACACATAAACCAATACAAACCAGTTTCAGGTCATGTTCTTTGGCAATTAAAAAATCTTCTGGACCATGAGCTGGGGCTGTGTGAACTAAACCACTGCCTCTCTCCATGGACACGTGTACTCCAGACAAGAACGGTAGCTCACTATCCGGACACAGCGGATGTCTGTAGGTGCAGCCAGCAAGATCTGCTCCTAAACATATACAGAGCAAACTCAGCAGCAAGTTTAAAGACAGCTTAAACCGAAGCTTTTCACCACTGCAAAATGTCAACTGAAAATTACAATCAATAATAGGAAGCAATTGCTTTACTAACATGATACATTTCCCCCCATCTAGTAAAAGGAATGAAGCATACCTTCCAACTTAACTAGGTGAACTAGCTTTGAGTTCAGAGAGTGCTCCATATCAGCTACTCTTTCTGTAGCAATGAGGAAGTGATCTCCCATGAGGAACTCTTTGTCACTACTACTGCATCGAACTATTGAATAGCTAAAACAATAACCAATGCATTAGATCATTTATACACTGAAACAATTTCGCAATTTTTTTATCATGTTATATTAAGTGCATGTACTCAATTTCCAGTTCTCAGGTTATATGGATAAAAAAACATACTGCTCCACTGCTGTTAGATAGAACCTGACGTGTTTGGTGATTGGCTATTACATGTAATCTCTATATTCACAATGAGCAGCAATTATGAATGCAAACATTACCTTCTATCTTTGGCAAAACAAAGAGCTTGGTTAGCTGGTATTGTCCATGGTGTTGTCGTCCACACCAGTGCATATACTGGAATATTGACTAGAAAAAACAACCAATATATTCCAATAGTATATAAACATAACTTTACCACTTGTGAATTTATAACCTACTTATAGTCAGTGTAATGGGGGGTTCGTAAATAACTTTGGATATGTCTTGATACATACTAATTTATAAGCAATTTGCAAAGAATGTTCGATTCCAGATACCTATTTATACATACTACATCCTTACAGTAAAGTTAGCTATCATTGTTTGATAGTAACTATGCTATGCAACCATTTCAGTTTTGTATACTTACAAACTTTTTGAAGCGAACCAGTAGGCAGAGTCTCTGATACCATGGGAAACTTAACAATAACAGAAGAACTGAAAGAAAAGGAAGACACATAGCTTAGTTAAAGATGCTTTCCCATGCACATTTTTGTGACAAACCACTGTAAAAACGTAAGTAAATAACTCACTACACTTTAACTGAATGTCAGCTTTGAAAATAAAACTGTAAAACTATGTAGATATCAAGCCTATATTGGCTCAAAGAAAAAACAACTCGAAAAATGCGTTTCTCCACGGTTCTGTATCATGGCGGCAAGAGTTGACGCAGGTCACGAAACCAGCACAGCCATAGATATCATATAACACACGTGTTATATGATATCTATGAGCACATGCAGCCTTCATGATCACACCTTCAGCGCTTGGCGACACCGCATGGCAACAAGAGACGCGTCACAACATCACCACAGAGTGGCAAAAGTAAACGCTATTTGAAATATTCGACCCAACACTTTCACTTTGTAGTCTAAAAGCTTTGAATGAACATATTCTTGAGAATTTTTTTTTACCTATCACACATATATAGGCAAGTACAAACGTGCACTGTTAAAATAATTCATTTTTGCCTGATTTTATGTTTGCCGCTTGAAATTTCGAGGAAAGGCACCTTTAAGTGACGCAATCGCCTATTCCACCATACCAGCATCTAGAAAAAAATGTCAATTCAAGAATCACGCTGTTCTGTCCAGCGACTGTTTTGCGTCATTTTAATAATAGTTACCTTAATACCTTGTAAGATCATGGAATCTAGCCATCCCTTCTCCACTTACCTGACATGACTGTCATTATATTCCAGCTCAGCCTCTGCTAATGCTGTCCTAATAGAATGTAAAATTGATACACAGGTGTGTCAACAGTCTTATTCATATCGAACAGATATTGACACAGTCTATCTAAGTGTGGCAATTCATGAAACGTGTCTACCACAAAATCCCTGTTTATCTTAACCGCTTTAATCGAAAAAAAAAATTTTATAAACAAAAACTAATAAAAACAAATCACAGATATAAATATCACCCTCATTACACATATATTTTACTTACCTAGATGAAGGGGACCAATACACTGGCTTCAGGTCTTGATAGACATAACCCTGTAAAATGAAGCTATGCATGTAATTCAAAACAGGAATTACCCAAAATGTTTTCAAGATAGATTAAATTTAATTTGTCTGCTCTTGACACAATCATGACAGTGAACAAATCACATCTAACAGTTATATATCAGTCCTACATAAGGTGTTTCCTGCCTCATAGCCTTTTTGAGAAAACACTATGTCTTAAAAGGCAGGATATTTATGTACTTAAAATTACCTTTTCATACAATTTGTAAAAAATCTCCATCTGCGTTGCTTCATAGTTTTTATCCAAAGTATAATAGCAGTTGTTCCAGTCAGCCATCATCCCCCATCGCTGAAACGACGACTTCTGATTCTGTATGGCTTCCCATGCAAAGCTTCTTGCTGTAAGTTAAGAATGACATTATTTCATTCTGCATAAAATCCATAACAGCTACATAGTAATACTGTTCACTAGGCCTAAGAACAGATTCAACTACCTTGATCCCTTATTTTTAAAGGCGACAACTTTCTGAAGTCCTGTCTTGATGCCTGTAAGGCCTTCACTTCTATGGGTAACCCGTGGCAATCCCAACCTTGCACGAAGTCAATACGGTGACCGGATTGCAGTTTGTAACGATTTGTTATATCCTTTAAAATCTTAAATGAAACAAGGCATAGACATAAATAAATAAATA